CGACGCTCTCGAAGCTCTAATGAAAACTCAGGAAAGTTTGCTAAATCGGAAAGACCTCGTTTTTCCAAGCACTTTCTTTCCTACTTTTCGTCGATGTCATTTTTCCCAGTTCTTATTGATAATAAACTCTGATAATAATAACAATAACAATAACAACAATAATAATAATAATAATAATAATAATAATAGTAATAATAATAATAATAATAATAATAATAATATAATAATTGAAATGTTATAACAATGAATTATTATCGTATATGTATCGTCCATTGTTGGTTCGATGAAATTTCTTTTCTCCCTGTACCTCTCTGCCCCTCTTTCTCGATCAAAGCCACGTATACATACGTGTCTATGATTTTAATCGAAGGATTTGTTCGCTGGCTCGTGATATCGCCGAGCTTTAATAACCGTGATTTCGATAGCAACGGGGAAATGAATTCGGCCGGTCGACAATGCAGAATATTTGCTGCGATAATCTAATCCAATATTCGTCCAATTGCGTGGACTGATTTAAAATCCATCAAGTAAGTTTTTTATCCATCGTATTTGAAATTGTGAAAAATATTTAACGAAAATTCACTCTTTTATTACTATAATCTCCCCGACTTTTCAAGCTTACAACAAGATAGAATAATAAAAGAAAATAATTGTCGCGTGGTATTTAAGTTTTCCCTTTGTTTTCCCTTTGTTTTCCCTTTGTTTTTCCTTTGTTTTCCATCATTAGATAGCCGAAATCAGGCCTTCCTTAGCACTCATGTCGGATGATCCCTTCTCCTGTTCACATATTCGTTTGAGGTTTTGCCGAGTTTCATACGAGGACTCCAATCAAGTCGAAGAGTCCCACGGGGCATTGCGGTTGATACTTCGAGCAGCTTCCATTACGTCCAACCAACTCGGCCTCGACAATATCTCCCGGCAATTCCTCATGTCTCGAAGTCGTAGGTCTAAAACAATTCGACCAACTCTAAGAGTTCATTGACAACAATAGTAATCAGTAAATCTTAATTACGATGAAATAATATTTGTTCTTTCTTTTATCCAAAATCCAGATGCATATTATTCAAATAAAAAAAAAAAAAAGGAAAAAGAATATTATCTTTTTTTTTTTTTTAACAGTACGATCTATTTTCTCATTTTAAAGGAAGAAGAGTTTCTCGTAGAGTAAACGACGACAACGACAATGCGTCGTCGAGTTTCCTGGCCGCAGGCTCTTTTCTTTATTCATACGTTCCTGGCTCGAAAGCTTATACTCCCACGCGTATGCGGACACACACACACACACATGTAGAAGGGAAGAAACGAGCTCGTGCGCTTGCAAGTACACGAATGGGTAAGTTAACCGATACAATATAAAGGAGTAGAAAAGCGAGAAGGCTAAACCAAATTTACTTTTGACAATATGTATACGTATGTATATATCTAACTTTAATTTATACCACCGTGATATTATCAAAAAAAAAAAAAAAAAAAAAAAATGTACATATATATAAGAAGGAAAAGAAGAAGGAAACTTCAAACTTTTTTATTTTATGTATTTTATTAACAGACGTAATACGAGCATTTAAAATCATCGACGAAGCTATAAACAAAACTACGATCCTGCTGTATAATCCATGAGTTATGGGGTTAATTCGTTCATTTATGGTTTTAATGGAATTTCGTTCTCTTAGATTCTGGTTCGTTTCTCACGCGTAGTATTTTACGAATGAAAAAAAGAAAAGAAAAGAAAAGAAAAGAAAATAAAATGATGCTTTTTATTTGTCGGGATCGTTAATTCGTTCTTTTGTTAGCGTACAAATAATTCCATTGAATTTCGTAGATTGTTATTGGCATTTGAGAAACACTAAATTATACTATTCCTTTGTATTCCGTTAAAACGTAGTACTATTGTAGATCCAAAATTTACCATTTGTTTTCTTGTATTTTTTCTCCTTTCTAAATAAATTTCAAGCAATTGAAGATTATCATAAAAAAGATAAAAGAAGAAGAAAATGAACTTAAATGATGTCTTTCTCACATAAGTTTTAGGTGAATTTTCTTATCGCACGAATTTAGTTATTTTTACGTGTGTCTAACTAATTTATTGACATGTATGCAAATATATCTCGGAGAAAGTAAAAAAAATAAACAGGGTATCATCTTGACTATTGAAAATAATTTGATGACGGTTAAAAAGCAAACTTTCTCGGCTCCGACTATGATTTCATTAACGTGCAGGATAATGAAGGAGTTTGGGGAATACGTTTATAACATCGGAAATGGGAGGTAAGATTTATCGTTAAAACGTGTTCCAACTGTACTAGTTATCGCTCTTTTTCACCTAATCAAATTATTATACCCGCTCGAGTTAATATAGGGGGAACAACTCTAAAGGAAAAGTTTCTTTATTATTTTAACCGATGGGTAGTTGTTAAGTCGATTTAATATTCAATTATTCATTTGAATAAATAATAATGAAATATGAAATAACAACTATTATAATGACTATTAATTATTAATATAAAATACATATTAAATAAACTTACGTGAAAATGACGTGAAATATATCACCGATGAGGCCGTTGTGATTTAAAGGATGTTCAGAATTTTCGCATATGGTCTTCAATAGGCATTCCCTTCCAAGATATCCAGAACTAAATCGTCGAGAGAGAGAGACAGACAGAGAGAAAGAAGAAGACAAAAAAAAATGTAAAAAGGAAAAGGATAGAAGAAAAATAAGCGTTGAAAGAAAAATAAAGGTAAGTAGATAACGAGACGAAATTATTCTGACTCGTTGTTACTGTTTCCCAAGCTAAGTACTATTTACATTGGACTTGAACATACTCTAACTGCTGAGGATTTCGCATACGTAATTCGGGCCACGTTCGCACATACGTTATATCCCAGTAGCGTGTCGTCGTTTCCACAAATGAAGGAGCTTTCTCGTAAAACCGAAATCGAGATAGAAAGAGAGAGGGAGGGAGAGAGAGAGAGAGAGAGAGGAAGCAAAAGATAGAAAGGAACGACTTTTGGTAGAGAAACTCTCCTGACGAACTTGCCGTTGCGAGTGCCGTTCACGAGTATGTGCACCGTAAATTCACTTCAATCCTCTGCTCCTTTCTCTCTTTCTCCCTTTCAACCCTGTGAAACGTCTTTTGAATTTGAATGGCTGGCTCACACGAGTTAAAGTCGATGAAAATCGGCCAAAGAGTAGAATCAAAAAATGATCATTTTTACTTTTGTTTTTTTTTTTATAATCGATCGATACTTATTTACAAGATGCGTTAATTATTCATTGTAAATTTAGTCGTGAAGAATTTTCTTTCTTTGTTGGAAATTTCCTAAGACAGAGTATACTCGTGGTGGTGGTTGAAAAGACTATGCACATGGCAGAAATTTCTTATTCGCGTCGTCCTAGTCGACTTCTCGAAAGTATTATAACGATAGGAGCTTACCTCTCGAATTTACTTTCGAGTACCCGGTAGATCGTGGTTCTGTCGATGCTTCTCTTCTTTATTTTTCTTATTTTTCTTCCTACTTCGGAAGCCGCCTTAGCAGACCAAGGTTCGAGGTACGACAAGTTGGAGGGTAAAGTGTAGCTAGCTTCGAAGAAATACGACAAGGAAATCGATTTCTGGGGATCTTCGAGTGGTACCGCGATAGCAAGGAAGATCTGAAAGGAATTAGATCTCTGTAATCGTTATAGACGTTATCAATCCCTCCTTCTTTTTCTTTTTCTTTTTCTTTTTCCTTCTTTTATTTTTCTCACTAAACGATCGATCCTCGATTTCTCCAGCTTGCGAGTACCTTGCCACTCGAGATTTCTCACAAATCGAAACGATTGTTTTCAATACGTTAATTTTCTTACGTTCCCCTAGACATTATACTTTTCATCCCTAATGAGATCATTTTTCAAATCTAAACTCAACAGTGATCAAGAATTTCATTCGAGCTAATAAAAGATCCGAGGTTTGATCAGCCGAACAATGAATTTTTATTCGATTTTATTGACTTTATTATCTTTGATAACGTTTATAATATTCATTATCGTTTTATTAAGAAATAAAGAATAATTAAATTATATTTTTCATTGTGAAATAATAATTAATTTTTTTTTTTTTTTTCTTAGAAAAGTCAATTACAATTGTTTGAATGTCAACTAATGAACTTTATTATTCTCGATAATATGAAAATAAAAGTAATGAAAATTGTTCCATTTAACGAACGTCGAATTTTTTGCGATCGTATATGGTAGATGACATGTCGGTAACTTACACCCATCGAACTAGCTTCTGGAAATGACAAGCTCCTGATAGGTCGATGAAGAGTTTCGGCTATCTCCGAGTTCGACGACTTGGACGACGAACATGTTAACAACAGATTAAACGTGAGACATCTGCGAATAAACGAGTTTTGTCAATTTCCAAGTAGAAAGAATCATTACAAAAATTCCTATTATTTTGATAGAAATAGTCAAATAAATGTTCGACGCCGGTTTGAAAATGCGTCCAATGTTAGTCGTGCGAAACTCACAAAATGCGTATCACCGGTAACCACATGTTGAAAGAGGATGATCGCCACAATGCTCGTTCTTCTTCGTACATTCTTCTCTTTCTCTTTCTCTGTCTATGTGTGTGTGTGTGTGTGTGTGTGTGTGTGTGTGTGTGTGTGTGTGAACAAGCAGTACTATTAATTGTGCGTGTAAAGGAAACCAGAGTCCGTTTTTGAGGAACAACTAACTCGTTTTAAACTCCTGTAACGTCTTCCTTCAACTTACTTGCGTACGAAAACGAAGTAGTTATCTTTGCGAGTTCGTTCTAGTCGACTGTCTTTCTCTTTCTCTTTCTCTTTCTGTTTCTTTCTTTGGGTGTTGGTGGGTACAGTTAGACAAAGCAAATACTCGGAGCGAACGAGAAATGCTTTACGTAATAATCTCTACGTCCCCTTATTCGTCTCTGTGTAACGTAAGAATTTTGAGCGACAAGTCCAATTCTTTCCCTAAGAACTTTATTATTTTTTCCTCCTCTTTGAATAAATTCTTTCTTCTCTTTTTTTTTTTTTTTTTCTTTTTTAACAATTTAATATAACTATATTTTCAATTACTTTTTTTTCTGTTTCTTTCTCCATTTTTACAAATTATTATTATCTTTTTCATTATTTTATTCTTATCGCTTTTAATCTTTTTTTCCTAAATGTAAATTTAATTATTTTTTCTTTCCAATTATTATTCCTTTTGTGTACCTTTCTTCTTCGTAGAATTTGTTATTATATTTTTCTTTATCTTCATTGATCGTTCTTCAAGACCAGTTTCATTTTATTCTATTCCTTAATATCCCATTTCTTCGGGTCTTGTGGATTAAAGATCAAACAAAACGATGAGAATATTTTACATCCGGTTCCTCTTTCTCATTTCCGGTTGCACCGGAATTTCTCGATCGGAAACAAAGGAGTACGAGAAAACTAGGAATTTTCTAAGAGAGAAGAGGCATCTCCTCTTTCCCGATCCGAAGGAGAGCGAAACTAAAGTACAGGTTCGTCTTCTTTCAATCTCTACAAATGGTTATATTTCGTATCGTTCCTTTTTTTTCTTTTCTGTTACTTTCATTAATTACCATTTCAATTATTCTTACAATGTTTACTTTATCATGAAAAAAATCGTAGAGAAGGTCAGCACACATTTTCTTTTTCCTAGAAGGGCTATTTCGTCATATACGTACACGTCAACACAAATTTTTACTTGTCTTTCTTTATTTTTTATTTATTTATTTTGTTGTTGTTGTTGCTTTGTGATTTACAAGTCCGCTTGTTTGACTTCGCTCGTTGCCGAATTCATAATCGCTAGAGTAAAGAATAAGTATATATGGTGGCAATAGCAGATGTGGAGACAAAAGTAATTAAAACTCCTACGAAAGCTAAACGTTTCTCTCTCTATCTCTTTCTATTTAATATCAAAGTTAATGAATCGCATCGAGAATATGTCGGATTATTTTCTGTTGTTTTAAATAAATATTACCTGAATAATACAATAATCAAACATTATTTGAATAAGTTATTAGTAATTTAAAAAAAAAAAAAAAAAAAAAAAAAAAACAAACAAGAGAGAGGAAAAAAATCCAAAGCAACCAACGAACAAAAGAATTGAGTTCGATCGTTCGCTAATGGATTTCTGATTTTGGAAAAAGGTGCTTTTTGGTCTTGGTCTTCCAATGGAGGAGGATATATCTATGACTCTTGGTTACGTGTTGAAGTGTAATTACAATCTACCATACAATTCGTCGGATTTCACAAGAGCTCACGCACGATTTAAAAAGTTCACCGACAACGTTCTACCGCAGGGTGAAAAACCGGAGCACCGAGGTAAAAACTAAGAGCGAGAGAGAGAGAGAGAGAGAGAGAGAGAAAGAAAGGGATGAGAGTGGTTTGGAGGTGTAGGGAACGAAAAATAAGCAACCACGAGCTCGAGCGCTCATATATAAATCAGGCCACTTCAGTGAGATTATTCACCCTTTTAATTTTCCTTTCTTGTATTCTCCAAATATGTATGGAGTTATATCTCATATGAAGCCCATTTTGCAATTGATTTGTTCTTTTTTTAAATAAAATATGTAATGAAAAAATTAACATAATTTTGATCATAGTTATCCCCTCCACAAACTTTCTCTTTCTCTCTCTCTCTCTCTCTCTCTCTCTCTCTCTCTCTCTTTCACACTTGTTAGTCAAGCTTGCAAGTTAACAAGCTGCTTATTTGTATTTTTCTACGTGTATGTTGTTTTTTTCCTCCCCCTTGTGGCAATATAGGTTTGAGTCGTTGGACTTTCTACAGAATGTTGGAATCAGCTATGGAAAGGTTTGGATCCGGTAAGGCTTGTTTACTTCGGGCCGTTTGCGAATCAGCATCGAATCCCTTTGAGAAAGAACGCGGACTCCTAGGGGAACTTTTGCACGTCCTTCTTACACCTTCGACAACATTTGAAGAATACGAAATTTACTCGGATCGCGAATACTTCGCGGCAGAAGCTATCGGCCAAAATTCCAATGGGAAATGTGGATACTTTTATACCGAGTGCCAATACAATCCGTTAGATTATTTTACAACCATTGGGTGAAATGTTCGTACGTGAACGTCCCTGATTGCGAGAGACAAAACTTCTTGCATTTAAGTGTCTCGACCCCCTCCCCCAGTTCTTTTTATTTTCTTACATTTTTATATCTGCTCTCTATGCGAATGATCATTTATCATTATCATTATATTTATCGAGAAAAATTCATATTTAGCAGTATTTAACAGTATTTAGCAGTATTTGCATCGTCAAATAGTTAAATATATAATTTCATTATTTCCTATATGTACTGATATTCTAACAACACAATTTGACGATTGATAGTAAATCAATTAGAAGCGATCAGTTGGTGAGTTCATTGAAAGTCATTTAATCCTTCCTAGTGTAGACTAATATGCTTAATTAAGACTAATAATTCTATGTAACATAGTTCGAATATCGACGCTTTATCGAATGAACGTTACTACAAATTGAAAATAATGTTATTAAATAGGAAATGTATGCGTGAGTGTACACGTGAGTGTATTCGTGAATATAACTTGTCCTTTATTTCAAATGGTTAACAGGGTGCAATAGATTATTTGATTCCAATTGGATCATGAAAACGTTTGTCAGGCCAATAAAATACCAAAATCAAGAGAGAAAGAGAGATTAAATAAAAGCTTTGAAATGTTCGTCACCAAATGTGAATTCAATATATTTGAATATTTGATCTATTCTTATATCAGTCATAACTGCACAGAAGCTATCAAATAATTACAATAAAATAAACGTTCGACACTTCCAAGGTCTCCTCTACCAAGGTTACGTAGTAAAGTACCTCGTATTCGCCTTCTTTCCCCTTCAACGAGATAACATGAACGAAAATGAGGCGTATAAGCAATATACGAGAAGTGTTGTATGCAATAATTGTATTAGAGTTTGTTCAAAGTTGTATTTTTATCTAAAAACAGTCTTACAGCCTGTTCGCGTATTAAAGTGTTAGTGCATCAGTGCATCGGTGAAGATTTAAAATTGTTTGTTTCAACTGACAACACTAGTGTGCAAGGCAGTTGTTGAATTAGTTGTAGAATACGTGATCGGCCAAGTTAAAACCAAACGCGAATTAGAGTCAGTGTTGTTCGTCGTATAATCAAATTTCATCAGTTTCGCGATAAGAAACTCATCTATAGTTTCTTATTTTTGTTAATAACTCGTCTTTAGATTCACTCGAGCCCATGGTACCACTGGACTTCATTTCATTTTTATTTACGTTTTTTTCTATCTTCATTCAACATAGAATTCAAATATAGAAGGAAAGAAGAAAAAAATGAAAAGATATACTCGGTGATCTGCGAAATATAGAGATAGGGTAACGACAAGACGCGTTTACCAAAAGGTGATTACGGAAAAAGCGAAACTTCTTTTCCCTATGGGATCTCTACGAATACATGAGAAAAAGGAAAAGAAGAAAACGAAAAGGAGTTTCGAGTCAGATCGTTTCGAGTTCGCGATAGGAGAAATACGATTTACTTGCGAGATTCCAAGTGTTGAACACTCGACTAGCATGGAATCGTTTTACGATGTAATAGTTTACTTTTATTCCGTGTTCAAGGAAATGAACAAAAAACAAAAAAAAACAACAAATCTTAAGAATATATACTTTTTTTTTTTTATTTTATTTTATTTTATATAAAGTATAGTTGATTCGTGTTAACTTAAATATCTAAAGTTTTTACATTTGTTGCGTTTCAGCAAAGGTGTCGCACTCTTTCTTTTTTATTTCACCCATAGATTAACGCTATGTCACGATGAATTATGTATGTACATTATATTTACAGGTACTTCATAAAGTAATTTTTATTTACAAAATACTTGCTCAGATTTAAAGTTAAAAAAAGAGAAAGAGAAAGAGGGAGAGGGAGAGAGATAGTTTCTTTTGTGTTGAACGATTCATCCCATAGAAATGCGTTAAAGCCAGACAACTAAAGGGAAGGGAGGAGGAGGAGGATGAGGGGGGGGGGGAAATGGGCGAGTAAAGAAGGTTGAGAAAAAATATCAGCTTTAACAAGACGATCCGAACAGAGAAGGAAGTTTCGGAGATTGCGAAACGAACAGGTGGAAGACGAAGCACCGCGTTTGCATACTTGGCAATTTCTCTGTACCATCTTTTACAAAGTTTTCCTTATAAATTATGCAGAAGGGGCTCTCGCGTTTTACGAGAAGTCCCTTCTTTTCCTGTTCGATGTTAGCGCGATAGGCACCAAGTTTTCTTTTCTTCTTCGACTTGTGGTCGGTAGTAGAAAAAAAAAAAAAGAAAAAAAACAAGAGAGAAAGAAGAAAGATCGAAGGATTTTACATGATTTTTTTTCGTCTCCAGTTGGAAACATTCTTTCATGAAAAAGTCTTTCCTTCTGACACTAATATCGAATAATATTTTGTCAAAAAAAGAACACACACACACACACACACACAGGAATATTAAACGAATAAACGAGCACATGCACATGTGCTCGCCAAAAACTAGAATCTGTCTATCCGTCTATCTGTTACTCTCATCCAAGTTTGGTGAAGTAGAATTTAGGTCAACGATGCGCGACAAGCCGCACGATTCAATTATCCGAATGCAGATATTATTCTATTGAGGTTTCTGCATCGGCAAAATTTTCCTACCAATCCGTAATGCAAACATGGATCTATCACCCGACAGGACATCGCTCTTAGTCTCTTGTCTCTTGATATCTCATAGCATATATTGCATACGATCCTAATATTTTCTTTCGTGTTGAAAAGGAAGAAAATTGGATCGTCAGAGTAGAGAACGAAAAAAATAACATAAATATCTATTATTATGGTTTAATAATATTCATTTTTATTTGATTTTTTATTTTCGAGTATGGAAAAGAGTAGAATAAGAAATAATAAATAGTATGCTTTGTGTAGGAATAAAAAAACACGGAAGAATGAAAGAGAGATCGATTGTTCAAAAAACCGTGAAATTGTTTATCGCCTAAATATTCTTCTTTTTATTTTTATTATTATTATTATTATTATTATAATAACATTTTGTTGTTCGTATTTATTTATTTTTTGTTCAAGTGTTACTTTTGTAGTATCGCAGAGATGAGGGATGCTCGTATAGGATAGGATTAATGGCAAGAACGTCGAGGCAAAACAGTTTTTTATGGGTGTTCGTCGTCGGCTAGTTCGGTGAATTTATGTAGGTCGGACCAGCTCGTTCATAAAGAATGCGCAGCTTGAATATGGGCCATTGAACTCAGAGACAGCTTTTTGCTGCAGGTTTCTACCTAAACGTGATCCACGTATTATCCAAGATATTATATAGGTCAGAGTACGTCATTGTCAATACGATTTACATAGATAAATAAATAGATAGATAGACACGCTTTAGATGCACTCTATCGTTGTTGTGTGTGGAAATTTGATAAAATTCGATAAAATTCGATAAAATATAATTCACATTTTGAATAGCCTTGAATATTCATACAACATAATACGATCTAACGTGTTAGTAATGTATATTAATCATTTAGAGGTTTATTTCCTTCGAGTAGGTGAGTCAATAATTTATATTCTGGATTTTAAGATACTTTGGAGTAACGTTTTTAAGGATGAAAAAAAGTGAATGGGGATGGATCGTTTAATATTAATCTTGCTTCTTTAAACTGGATAGAAATAAAATAATACCAATATAAATCTAAGCATAAAAAACCGTAAATCTATTTGAATAATATCACGTATTATTTTGAGTACATTGAATGAACAAAAGAAAAATATAACGAAATTTTGACAAATTTTATTTGAAACGAGTTACACGTAGTAATATGCATTTGAAAATCAAATCAAATGCTATAGGAATGCAAGCACATTTGGTTGCTTGCTTGCTTGCTTGCTTGCTTACTTGTGTCGGTTATTATTAATGACATTTTACGTGACACGTCGTCAGTGGCCGATTAGGCATCGAATCGATTTTAATACCAGTTCGTATAACTTTAATGTCATTTGATATCGATATCGACGAGCTGCCAGTTCACTGTTATATATACGAGTACATTCATACATAACATCGTATATACCCATACACATAGAATAATCGATAGAGAGACTCGAGAACAGTGGTGGTTTATCCTATCGGTTGCTCGTTGAACGATCTCGTCTCTCGACAAAGACGGTTCATTAGCCGTTTAACCCCCACGGTCGCTGGACTAAATGCCGTTATTAGCGAGTACAATTTTACGAGGATAACTTCAAGCTTTTCTTATTATTTTCTTCAGTCTCACCGACGCGTTCAGACCGACTCAGAGAAAATGCGATCTTTATTTCAATCATTTTCTTTCACAACAGTTTTATCTATTTGTCATACCCTTTTTATTTTCTATCATTCCTCCAATTGTCAACAAGACAAAAGATCTTTAGTTTATCCACCACCTGGTTCCTATGCACCGACTAAAGTTCAGGTATTATTTTATTAATCATAAGTTGATTAATTGATTTTCTTCAGGTAGTTCGAATTTTGTTCTTTTATTTTTTTATTCTTTTATATTTGTCACATCGCATTTTTTTTTTTTTTTTTTATCATAAAACAAGCCTTCTTTTTTCTCCTAGCAGCAGCAGCAGCAGCAGCAGCAGCAGCAGCAGCAGTCTAGTAAACTCGAATACAAACGTGATAAACGATCGATGACACCTGCTCATGTTTGAAAACCGTTTCAGCTAATCCTCGGGCTCGGTTTACCCATGGAGGTCGACGTCAGCATGATTATCGGATATGTGATGAAATTTAATTACGTCCTGCCCTATAACGCCTCCTACTTGACGGATCCATTCGTACGATATGACAGATCGATCGACCATGACGATTCCGTCAAGGAAAGGAACAATGAATTTGTCAGATCAACGTCGAATATTCTTCGTAAGCTTACATCCAAATCTTATATATTTTCTTCTTAAGTCGTTATTTCAATTATCGAATTAGTTTATCATTTTAAACTACTCGGATGAAAAAACGAAAGTACTATTACGAATATTTATTTGATTCTTCGTAAGATATATTCTTTATATTCATATATTTGATATATTTGTTATCGATCAAATCGAGTTGGACTTCTTACGTATCATGCATTATTTATTAAAGCTAAGAACATTGCGGTAATAGAGATTGCCGTTTCGCTTTGGAAATTTTACTTACTTTAATCCCTGTCCCCGCTTTGAAATCCGACCGGGGTATCCAAGAGGATCGGGATGGGAAAGTGAAAGAAAGAGAACAAATCTTACGGATATAGTTTCTCTGTGTGTGTGTGTGTGTGTGTGTGTGTGTGTGTGTGTGTGGATACGTGTATAAATGGCTAAGTAAGGAAGTATGTGTGTGGATGAGAGAAAGAATAAGAGATAAATAGAAAGAGAAAGATAGAAGACTTAGTGCTCGAGGGATAAGACGAAGATTCTCTTCCTTTACATATTAATAAGGCCACTTTTGTTGCATATACCTTACTACCCCTCAGAACGTATCAGGCTCGTATCACAATGGACGAAAGCCTTTCCTCATCCTCGTTTTCTTCTTCTACTTCTTCTTCTACTTCTTCTTCTACTTCTTTCTCCTTCTTTTGTGAAAGAATACGCTTCCTTTAGAATCCTATTTTTCCGGCTTATTTTCTTTTTCTAACTCTCTTTTCCGAGCCTTCTCTATTTCATTGTTATCCATCTTCCATTCGGTTAGAGTCAACGGATACTACAACATCCAGGTGGGAACTATACGAGATCCTACAATCGATCTTACCAAATTCCAGTTATGGTAAGGCCTGTCTTTTGAGAATGATTTGCGATGTTGCTGATGTACCATTTAATCAAATTTATGGATTAGCTGGACAACTTTTCCATTTATTATTAACGTGAGTATTATTTCCATTTTTTTCCATTTATTTTTTTATTGTCATTTAATTAGTTAATTTAATTACTCTTTTATTATTTATCCTCATTTTCGAGCTTCCCAAATCTGTTATCAAATATCATCATCATCATCGTCATTTCGTTTTCCGATCGAAATCAATTGGATTATTTCTAACAGTAGAGACTTGTAACGACATTGATGACGTTGATGTTGTTCATTGGATTAATTTCACAACGCGTTCCGTACGTGACAAATCATTGCAGCTGTTCATTGGTTGAAAATATTCGTAGAAAGAGAGAGCTTTGTTTGTCCAAATAAACGAAACGTGCATTGGTGTAGAGTATTGCGCCAAAGATAATTATTTCTTGACTTTACTTTCGATCGATTAGTCTCTTGATACTCGTATTTCATAGTTTTACTCATGTTCTTCAGTTCAAATCGTTCATATTTATGTTAAATAAAATGAATCATTAATTAGGATATCATAAAGAATTTTCGGTCATATTTTATTAGGCGTAGCAATGAATTTGGTGCATGAAATTTGCTATCCTATATTATAGAATAAAGATGGAAGGGGGGATGGATATTCTCTTTTGTATTTTGTTGCAGACCCTCAACAACGTCGGATACGTTTAGATCGTACGCTGATCAGGAATATCACGGTGCGGAATTGGCAGGTCGACAAAATCCCGGCCGGTGTCAGAGTATATTTCCCGAATGTCCGGAAAGTCTGCTCGAATACTTTAGCGAGATTCGAGAATAATTTATCGCTTAAAAGTTGTCGTTTCGAAGTATGCATCGCTGTTATATATTATTTGCATCGTACGTACGTTCGAAATAGTTCGTCTTTCGGACCACGATTAATAAAGTTAACTCGAATCTCGACAAATTAACGAATACTCGTCAGAAAAACATTTCTAAGTGTAACCAATTGTTTGTATATTTAATCTCATCGATTTCAAGATTTCTTATTTCTATAAAAATGCGCTCAATTTGTATCCTATATAATAAAGAATATTACAAAGTCGATAAATTTCGAGGTAATTTCTGGCCGTTCTAGTATTGTCAAGTGAAATGAAAGTTTCAAGAAAAGATGGTGCCGACATGGTGCTTGGTCTGCTATTACTACTAGTATACTTTTTTATTATTATTACTACTACTACTACTACTACTACTATTGCTACAGGTGTACCTTGTCTATTACATTGGTGTGTAAGACACGTGAAAATACGCATGGCTGTGAACCGAAACCAAAATATAATTTATGAGTTTCGTTGGTGCGATATCGTTTCTCCACCATCGCCGCCACTGATATTAGAAATATATAAAGGAGACGATGAAAATAAAAGAGGTGAATAACGTTAAAAAAGAAAGAAGAAAGTGTGATAAAATAGAAGAAGAGAATCGGAAGATGAAAAAGAAAGAAAAACAAGAGAGAAGAGAGGGATAAAAAGGGTAGTGAAAAAAAGGGGAAGAAAGGTTATAACGGGCGTTCGAAACAGAACGTGACGCAGTTATCGGCACGTTATTGGCAGTCTTTCTTTCGATAACAGGTGCGCGTAAAGAGAAAATACTCCTTGTTGAAATGAATAAGGGAATAGAACGAGAGAGAGAGAGAGAGAGAGAGAGAGAGAGAGGAGTGAGGAGAGAGGAGAGGGGAGAGGGGGATTTATAGAGGAAAGGGTTACCAGGATGACCGAGGACCAGTTTCTAGGACAAACCCATTCATGGTAATTAACAACGGACGACAATATACGATTTGACTTCGTTATATCGGTTCGTTACATCCTTGTCGATGTAGAAACCTTTGACCTTTGTTAACGTATCATCCTATCTCTTGTTCTTTTTTATTTGTTATCTTTATTAATATACGCCGATGTGACAAACTGCCGCTTTCGAGACGATATCAGCTTTTACCCTTATTTTTCTTCTTTTTTTTTTTCTTTCTATTCTTCATTTTTTATATTAATATTCTTTACAACCTATAGTACGTAAAGTTATTACAATATCTCAAAGGTTTGATATTAAAAAAAAAATATGATTTTATAGTGAAATGTGAAATTGATAGATATACCTACATTTAGTTGATATATTTTGTTATTGGAAATTTCTTTGGAATAGTAAATATCGAGATCGAAAAGAAAGACGATTTGTGGCTCGTCAACGTTGATATCGCTTATTTCGTCCTGACGAATGAAAAGAGCCCACGATGCCTAATGGTTTTTCGTTACGTTTTCGACATGCAATCGATCGTTTCTCGACATCCGTCGATTTTACTCGTCTATGTTCGACAACCTCAATCATGACGGCAATCACTTCGCGACAATCGAAAACTTCACTTTAGTATTATAGTTGTCCATCCTATGATTACTATTTCCAATTGCTGAAACTAACTCGATGAAAATTCACTTGCTTTCATTTTTTTCCTTTAAACAAACTAAATAGACATTTGTTTTCATTAATTTCACTTAGAAATGTTAAGAAATCATGTTGAAAACCCTAAACTATAAGAATACGGAAAATAAAACAATGAATTCTTTTGATTAACCATACTCTATAGAATACCTCCTTAATTCTATAGCGATACATAGAACGTGTAAAACAAAGAATTGTCTTTCTTTTACTGACTATTTTTTTAACGAAATAAATTTTATCGTATTCTCGTAGTTTTTACGAATAGACGCTTTCATTTATGGACGATCGATAAGTCGTACTTACTTGGGTGTCGTAAAAATGTAGAAGAAAAAATATACGAGTGAATCCCACGAATGTCATAGAACCAACAAGGTTGTTGTACTTTAAGTTAGAGTATGTGACTCTGTGTGTCTGTGTGTATGTGCGAAAAAGAGAGAAAGAGGATGATTCTAGAGGGTGGAATTTTATTGGGTCGTTTGAAGGTTGTAATTCAATTCCATGGCGAAATCACATTCCACGCATCAGGATATACACGTGAACTGAGCTTACGATCTTCGATGTCCATCCAGTTCATATCTCTTCTCGCTCCTACTATACTACTACTACTACTACTACTACTACTACTACTACTATTACTCGTATCCTTAAATTCTGGAGACCTTGGACCCTATGAAATATCGTCCTCTCTTCAACAAATCTTTGTGGGCACCCTACCTCTCTCTTTCCATGCTTTTACGACTGGCTCTTCTATTATCGTCTACTTCGAGATTCTACGATTAGCGTTGATTCGATTTTTCTTACATTACGTTATAATCTAATAGTAAGAAAATCTATTATTAACTTGGTTAATTTATTCTTGAAACTTATTATAAAAACGTACCAGCGAGAAATATTCCAACTACTTCGTTCTAGAATCGTATGTTTTTAGTTATTGACAGGAAATCCAGTTTACGTGTCTTGAAAGAGGAAGAGTCATCTTGGAGAATTCACAGGGTAATGCTTCAGGCTGTTTTTACTGTTCAACGTTGTCAGAAACAAGTGGAATTTAAGAAGAAGAGAGAAAGAGAGAGGTTTGAAACTTCATATTGTGTAGGAATACACTTTTTGGTTTGTTCAAACTAGAGCGTGTTAACCTGCATCATGGAGAAGGAAACGCTTGCTGCCGAAGGGTTGTACAATTTTCTTCAGATTCCTCGGAAAAATGGTCTATCTATCTTTTAGATTCATTTCGTATTAAGTCTTATATCTAAGTTTCGTTTATCTTTTCAAATATAATATTATTCCAGATTTAGTATATTTCCAAGAAATAAATCTTCTAATTGAATTGATCCATTCGTTATAGTTTGAAACAGTCCTTAATGTCTTCCTTTCGATCGATTCAAAACCAAAGTAATACTAATATATATATATATTATTATTGTTATTATTATTATTATTATTATTATTACATCTATATGTAGATGTATTCGTATTTCTGTTTCCTTAATACCGTATAATCCCAGACGTAATCTCTCTTAACTACTTCTGAAAATCCGATTGTAGATAATTCCTCTTATTATCGTAGATATCTCTTCGTAATAATAATAAAGAGTTATAATTTAGATTGAGATACACCAGGAGGAGTAGGAAGATACCACTTAGGTAACTATTTAATCTTTAACAATATATATATATTGTGAAAAATATAAAGAAAGAAATATTGAAAGAAATAGGAAGGAAATAGGAAGAAAAGTTATAATTGGTCAAGCATACTCAACTCATACGTTCATTGTATTTTCAGTTCACAGTATTTTGGTTTTCATTAAAACGTAGTTTCACAAAACGCTGTGGTAGGTTACATCGGTCTTTTAAGTTGAACTTTGACGAGTAGACCATTCGGAGAACTCAGAACGCGAGTAACAGTCTCTCCTAGCTCGTGTTTTCCTTTCCGCTTTCAATGTGCCACAATTTCGGGGTATTTCGAGAGAACGTTTCGCGATATTTAGAAACGTGTCTGGAAACGAAACGATATTATTTCGCTTACACGTATACCGAAACCGACAAAAACTTCAACTTTTGCAGTCGTCGAACGTACATTATTTGAACGACCAGTTTGTTCAAAGAGTTTATTATAAATGCTCGAGTTGACAATTTTACGGATATTTCGTATTTTTTTTTTTCTTTTTTATTGGGAGTACGATTTAAAACAAAACCCTTGTATAAGAGTGAATGGAACTTTATATGGATAGTAGTCTCTCGATAGCTAATGCAAACTTTTATTCATCTTTCTTATCACGATTCAGTAACAACAAATATAAAATTAAATAAGAGAATATGCATGAAGAAGAAGAAGAAGAAGAAGAAGAAGACGAGAATAGAACGAACGATGTTCTAATTGGTCGAATACACGAAACTCTACAGAAAACCAGGAACTAAACGAACCAGTATTAGTACAATTATCAGGTTTAAAGCTGAATAAAATACAACAATTTGTTTAACTCCGAATTCTCGAGTACATCATTATCACTGCATTTAGTAAAATATCTCGTAAATGCGTTCAACGAAACACGAATGTTTCACAAAATTAACGTTATCTCGTGGATTTAGCTAGAAGAATGAACAAGGATAGAAAATAACGAACACACGTGATTAAAACTGGATATCTTAGATTTTTTTTCTTCTTCTTCTTTGTATAAGAGGAATTAGACTCGCGAATGAAGGTATGTGGAATATGTAAGTGAATAAATAAACGTACTTCTCAAGGTTTTCATTTAATTTACTCGAAAAAGTAGTTTAGGTAAGGTGGATAGTTTCTTTGACTGATCATTGAGGTTTGTAGGAGGATGTAAACAGCAGCCGATAGCAAGGGAACTTAACAGATGTCTGAAAGGAATCAGCAGTTCGAGTACGCTCTTCTTCCGCTTCTTTTGTTCATGTTCTTTTTCTATATCTTTTTTTTCTTTCCCTTCTTCTTGCTCAATTCGTCAGTTGATTTCTCGTAAAACTCATCATCATTCGATCAGAAAACTCGATTGGTAAGAAGAACGATCGCAAAGTCTAGGATGGCAACTTCGAAGAGGATCGTACTGTTTTTACTATTACTTTTGCAATTTGAAAATTCCTATCAACGAGTCAACGATTTGAAGGACGTGATCGGTCTTCGAATAGCTCCACTAGAAGCAAAAGCAAAAGCAAAAGCATCAGCATCAGCTAGGGTCAACGACACGACCATCTCATCGAGGGAAAAGAGAGCCCTGGTTTTTCCTGATGCATCGATACCCGCGACCCTTCTGGTACGTTCTCATTTCATCGAAGAAGCTTTGCTTCCTTTCATACTTTCTCTCCTCTCTCTCTCTCTTTCTCTCTCTCTCTCTCTTTTTCATTTTCTTCTATCGCTAGTTTCGATAATAGAACGAGATTTAGAAAGTGATCGAACGAAAATACGGTTTCACGTGAGAATCATTAATTTATCGTATACTTAAAAAAAAAAAAGGAAAATAATTTTGAAGCAGATTTTTTTTTTTTTTTTACAGAAGAGTAAGAAATTCGTGATAAAAA